TTACCTTAGGAAAAAATTATACACTTCCAATTACAGGGCCAGTTAAAATCAATACAAAGGTGGGAGAAAAGAGATCATTTTTCTTATGGAAGTAACTGTTTTCATTAATTTTTCATTAGTCCTGCTTTTGTTGTGCTATCCATCACTGAAGGAGCTGGTATGCAGTAGATTACATTTAGGTTATCTTACATGCTTCCAGGATTTAGTAGATATTGCCTGATAAAGCTGCGAGCTTTATGGCTTTAACTTACATCTATCAATAATGCATCAGAAGAGAATTTTTCTGCGGAACAGCTGTCCCTGAGCCAAGCAGCTTTCCCCTGGAATAGCTGCACTGGTTATGGCTGAGACGACAGCACAGCTTTTAAACTACTCATCTAAAGGCAACCACTGCGAGAAAGAGGAGCAGATGCTTAAGGAGGAAGATAATCCGTGAGGGTTTGAGCTCTAGTTTCCCACTGTTGTCATTTGTATTTTGGAGAGCTGGAAGCCAGGAGCCAGCTGTGCCTTGTCCCGTCTCAGCAACCACACCTGAAAAGCATTCCTGCCATCCACCACCCTGGCCTGTGTCGGGCTTTTGTTGTGATCACTATATAAACAACCAAAGCTCTTTCACAAGTTGTGCTGGAGCTTTTTTTTTGTTTGTTTCCCTCCTTCACCCCTGTAATACCTGAGTTCTGTGGTAAGGAATCAAAACGTCATAAACAGAAAATTATAGTCACTACTGAAGAGCTGAGCCAGAGGAAGGATATGAAGACACCAGTAGATCCTGCTTAAAACGTGAAAGGTAAAGGAAATTTTACTTCATTTATCTTTCTCTCACTTGGGAAGGAATTAATAATAATAATCCCAAAGGTATATCAAGGCTAACACTGCCGTTGCGTTACTTAAGCTTATTCAGACATCTCAGGGATGCTTCAATAGCTTGCAACTCTCAGTTTTAAAAAAGCATGTGTCATAGCACCTCACGGATTCCAGCCCCTTTCTGTGCTGCAGGAGGGCTTGTGAAAGAGAGTGGCAGCAGAGTGTGACTCTTGAAGAGAGCAGCTTGCCACCTGGGTGGTTGGAAGCCAAGCCTCTGCAGCTTCCCCAGCTGCAAGATGAGCTTATTGCTACCTTCTTATCCTACAGGTAGAGAGATGCTTAATTGAAGGTTTGTACATGCTTTGAAGAGACCAAGCACTGTGTTAGGGCCAAAACTATTAGTCTTGAGCTGCCCAGGCACAGCCCCAAGCAGAAGAAAAACAAACCTCCTGAACTGGAGAAAGTGAGGGAAATAATTGCACAGCTACTTTTGTTACTTATCTGACAAAAAAAAGCTTTTAATGTGACCCACGAAGAGCTGAAGTATTTAGTCAGAAGCAGCGGGGATTAGTGAAATCATGGCTACAGATCTTCAGAACTAGTGTTCTCACTCTGGTGGTTCTGTCTTTTGTTTTTGCGTTGAGTGTAATTGCTTGGCAGTTAATCAAACGAAGCATCAGCCAGCCATTGGTGATCCCTGCTAAAATCCCTGGTTTGCACTAAAGCCAAAATGAGTTTCGGGGACTTCAGTGTGTGGAGTTTTTGTTTTAAGTCGATGCCTGAAGTGAGGTGTGCGCTTGACAGGTCACTGCCCTGCCCTTTAGAGTGCATCCCACCGGTGAGCAGGCAAGGCCAGCCACTCCACACGACATGCTTTCCTCAGGAAAATTAATAACAACACTGACAAGCTACATAATGGAACAGAAACCAGAATACGATTTGGGGTTATAGATGAGATCATTTATCAGTCCTAACTTGGGAGCAGAGAGACAAATCTCCTCCTCCTCTCTCTCTCCCCCCGGACCAGCAAGCCAGAGCTGTGCTCCAAATATCAGGAGACTGGGATTGCTGGGATGTGTGAGGGCACCAACACCCCACGCTCCCTGAAGGGCACAAACCCAAGCTGTTCACACCAGCAATGGGCTCTCTGGAGAGAAGAGCTCATGGACATACAGTTTCAAGGGGGCTGAGAGAGAAGAGTCTGATCAAACCACATTTCCTCTAACCTGCAATGGAAAAAAAACCTGTATTTTTAGAAGCAACATGCACCAGAGATGGGGAACAATTGCTGTCAATGCAAGAATACCGACAGCCATGCATCTTCTCACAATCCCCAAATTACACTAATCTGTAATTCGGTTCATAACTCGGGTGTGGGACAAGTTCACCATGAATACAGAGGGCACAAGATGGGATCCAGCCCATAATATCTGACATCGGTGGAAAAACAATATACTCTTCGTTATTTTAGGGGACTCAACAACATACTAAGCCCCTAGCCTTAGTGGAAAACTAAGGAAACATGGAAAAATTCAGAGATTCAAGGAAAAGCGGATTTCTTCCTAGCTGTCAGAGGACACCTCAGTTTCTGGAGCTCACCCTTGTAGAAAGAGAGGATGCTTCGGGAGGTGGGCCCTAGGGTTCCCCCCCAGCCATGGACATTATCAGCCTGGTTACCAGCTAGCAGGACTAGATCAATCTCCAAGGCGATGGACTTCTGTGCCATGTGCCTGCATCTTTTTTTTGGAAAAGGGGTAGGGATGTGATTTTAGCCGTTTGAGTCTGAAATAAAGGATCCCAAATGCTGTCAGTTTGGGGATCTTCAATATCCAGATCAATGAGGTAGCAGCCAAACCCAACACAGGGACCTGACGCCGCGTATTGATTTTTGGTGGTGGTGATCCCTCCAGACCCTCAAGAAATAATAAACCACTCAAACTGAAGTCTGAGAAAAAGCAACTGGTCTACAAGCCCTGAGGACGTCTTGGTTTCATTTCCACTATAAATAAACCTCAGGCAGCAAGAATGCCTACATACAAATACCAGTTGTCCCTAGAAATAATTCATAATATAGAATTCCACAGTCAAGAAATGACAGATGGAAACAAATGCTTTTATTTCTCTGAAAAATTGACCATTGGTCAATAAAAATTCTTTTCTCACCTCCCAAAATCAAACCCTTCCTCCACGAAGTTACCAAAAATGTGAATGCTAAAGAAAAACACATTTGACGAGTCATTTGGGTGACAGTAAAATCCCTGTAATTAGTATAGCAATTGATTTTTAAAGGTTGCTGCAAAAAATTATGCTTATGAACAAAATGCTTCTCTTCAAATTGAAAGCAGTGCCTGTTTAGCATAAAGAAAAATAATTGAACGGGTGGCTCAACTTTCATGTTTTTTCAGAGGGTAGTAGGTTGTCACCATTGGATTTTGTTACAGATTCTATTGGGCATCAAAGCCCAATACCTCAGGTACACCTGCAGAAGCAATCAGCTTGCTTCTAGATATGTGGCAATGGAGAGGAAAAACATTCACAGGGTCAGGCTACTTGGGTAATACAATAAATTAGCAGCACTTATTTACAAATAGTGCTTCTGGAAAGAGAGATTAAGCTAGTGACTAAGCAGGAGTTCACCTTCTCCGGAACAGCATAAATTAACTCAGTCTTCAATGGGACACTCACAGTGTGAAGTTTCATCCAAGGTGCAAGGACCCACACTTTGGTTATGTAGCTGTCAGGTACATTAATGAGACAACAGGGGAAGAGTTAAACCCTGGGTGGATGGTTATCACAGAAATCCAGCATTCGTGTTGCCAAAAGAAAGGGTGAAGACTCAGTTCCTCTGCCTGTGTCTCATTGTGGGAAGGGGTGCTAGGTGGCATCTGCAATCTCTGCGTGCCCACAGCATGCAGCTTCTCCTGGCAGCTGCTTAACCAAGTTGCTGAAGTACAACGTTGGCAGCTACCGCTCACTGCAGCTCTTCCTCTTGTTATTAAATACAGCACCACTGATAGCAAAAAATGGAGTCATACTTTTTAATAAAAAATTAGATAAATTTAAACTATTGTACATGTCAAAATTACTAACCTCCAGAAGAGAGCTGACCACAATCTGGTCTTTCTTGGTTCCCCCCACTCCCCCCCCTTCTTGGGTATATTGCTCAGTTGTCTGTTGATCAGTTTTTCTAAAGAACATTTTAAAAACACATGGTTAAAAGCCTCTGTTACAAACAGGATTAATCAGATTGGCTCTCTAAAAATCTACATCTAGTTTATTCCTGCATACATTTTTCATCAGCCATCACTTTTTTCATTCATGACCTCTTACTCCATGATCACGCTGTACTTGCAGCAACATTTACATTCAGGGTCTTGGGGTGATTCTTGACCCCATCAACGAGGAACGTGAGCTCGGTGGGAAGGTGACCAGGCAGTTGGGGATTTAGGAGGAGCAGAAAGGTGTCATCGAGTTGGACAAGTACGTGCTGAGCAAGCAAAACCACCGGCTGAGCACAACCTGCTTAGGGAGCATATGCCTGTGCATAAAACACAGCCCCTGGCAGGGCAGATCTGGAAGTGAGAGTACCTTTGGGCTTAATGGACAGTGTAAACATATTCCTGGGTATGCTGTGGAGGCCCCAGAAAGTGAGGATCCACCTGGAAGCTCAGGGAAGGTTTCTCCAGTGAACGGTCTCTGAAACATCACATTGCCTTCCACCAGTACTCGTGTACTTTCAACCCATACTGGTACCCGAACACTCTCAACCCACAGGGACCAGAGTCTTTTTCAACTTTGCAAGTTTCATACCACTTCCAACAGCTTGAAGATCTGTTAAAAAATATTTATTTCCCAGGGTTTTTAGCTTTCCAACTTCTATGCAAACTAACAACCAAATTGTGGGCAGTAAGAGCAAGCATTTGTTTATTTTGTAAGAGGACTACTTGCTGCTAATTGAAAACAAGCATTTTCAATGGTGCAGCTGTTTCAGTACCGTGAATAGACAGATCAGCCTCATACTGAAGATCTAATAACCTGCTAATGAAACTTAATTTTTGGAGCCCCCCTAACCCCCTCCCCCCATTTCCACATTTCAATAATTTCAAAACCATTGATACGTGCTGCCAGAGAGTTATTTGTGTGCCCTCTGACATATTTTAATAAAAACCAGAAAAATGGTAGCTTTTTTTTTTTTGAGTTATCAGACTATATTAAAAACCTTGTTACATGTATTTAACAATTTCTTTTTTTTTCCTTTTCTTAAATAAATAGCAAAGTGTCACCAAAATGAAAGGAACGCCGGCACCATTGCGTCAATAGAAACTTCCATACCAGGATGAATACACAGTCATATTCTGGAATATTGCATAAAAAGGTACTTTGGAGGAAAGGTGGTGGTTGCTGGTGCGTTTTAGGTGGTGAAAGCCTCAACCCGTGAACGGTCCCGTTGCAAAAATCTCACCGGCCAGAACCAGGTGGCTGCAGGGGTGGCCTCGGTGAGACTCTGGAGGAGAACACAACTTGCAGGACATCATCGACCTACTGCCCGCTCCCAAGAGGGACGCAGCCGATGGCATAAGGTGAGAGGGGCTGACTGTCTCACTCCCTAGGCAGAAGAACACTAAGCTCTAAACGAGGGAAATGAACAACATCAAAAAACAAAAAGGGGCTGACTAACACTCAGCAGGGCAAGGGCTTGGAGAGTTGAAGCTGCCAACTCCTTAGTCAAGAGGGAAGGATGCAACTACCCCCTGTTACATTGAAGGTTACAAGAACTGGGCACCATTGGGTTTTTTTGATGGGTTTCCCTGGGCTGAGCTGGTGTTATTTTTTCAATCTGACCAACAGCCACTCTTCAAACCGGGACCAAGCTTCTTAAAAAAGTCAGCGCTGAAGGAAGACGGGCAACCTGCGGCACGCCAGGCAGATGCCACCACGGCCTCTGCTGCCTTTAACTCACTCCCCCCTGCATGGGCAGCGCTGCCTGCCCAAGTGTAGTGAGCGAGCTAAACCCCTCCTCTCTGCTTCTGTTGGCTTAAACCAGACCCTCGTTATTTTAAACAGAGTTTATTGTATTTAATACATTATAAAATTTGAAAAAATTGTAGGAAAGCAGCAGATTCAAACCAGAGCGTCTCTACCAAATATTAATTATTCTGGCCCCCTTTGAAAAAACACAAAACAAAACAAAAACAACAACAAAAAAAAACCTCCATTCAAAAGAAAAATTAACCTTTCACATATGTGAGGGCAGACAAAAAGTGTGCGACTTCTGTACAAACTACATTTAAGATTTCAGTCAACTAGCTTTCCAATGCAATGGGTGGTCTTCTCCTGAACACCTGCCCATCCACCTCTAAAAATGACAGACATAAACCTCCATATGCAAATAAAGTTGAGTCAAGGTGTGTACACATTAAAAAGTGGATGGCTGTTTGGCAATGGAAAATGGGTGGAGAGTTGTCAATGTATCCCCCAATGGTAATGGCTTGTACACCGTTAAGTGGGCCCCAGAAAGGCCTAGGACACTTAATGGCCATCACAGCACCAACCTCATCTACCACTTTTTTTGTTGTTGCATTTCCTACCCTTTGACATATACATACATATATATATGTACATACATACATACATATACATACATATTTTTATATATATGTGTGTGTTTGTGTGTTTTCTTTTACACCTTGAGGTTATTATTATTATTACTACTATTCCAAATGTTCCCATATGAATTCAGGTGTGGTCTCTATATTTGATATAAATGTGTCTTTTATTCAATTTTAGTTCCAGGACTTGTTTGGAGTCCAAACTGCACATGAAACGTCCCCCTTTTTTTTTTTTTTCTCTCTCTTTGCCTTTTTTTTTTTTTTTTGCATAAAGAAACATGTCCATTTTAGTCCAGAGGCTCTTGCTTTATTCGAATGACGGAGGGTGCACGAGATGTCCTTCTGAGTTCTCGTCTCAGTACGTATTCACTGAATTGGGAAGAGTCCACCCCACCTCCACATGAGCCAACAATCTCAAACCCTCTTTGCTGTAACCTCTCAAGTACCTGCAAAAAACAAGAGGAAACAAACACCGGTGTATAAGTAATTAAACAGACCATTAGCTGTCCCAGGATGCTAACTGCTGTTTTTAAATGGTTCCAGCTAGGACACAAAAGTGGTTACACAGACCCACTAACTGGTTTCCTCAGCTTGATTGTATTGGACTGTTTTCTGCTGACTTTGGTCACTGAGCATTAAGAGATAAAATGAAAGAAAATACATTTGGGTTTTTTTTTTTAGTGCTGTTAAATACAGATTTCTTCTATTCACAGAACATGCCTGGAAAAACACATTCTCTGATTCACAAGATTTACAGTACAACAGGGCCATTACAGGATTCCACAGCAGCCATTGGGAGATGTTGAGCAAACACCTCAAGTAAATGGTGATAATGCAGATACTGTGGTCAGAATTTCAGAAAAGTTACCATCATATTTTCTAGACACTTAAAACCCAACCATGATCACAAAGATCTGTGGCTACAGCTACCTGTGGTAAAACCTGCGACCTTTTAACTTTAATTATGGGACAAACGAGTTCTGCCTATTCACCTTCTTTCCTCCTTTTTCACAACCCAAGTGTTGCTTCCAGTGGGAAATGCAATGGCAAGAAGAAAAAAAAAAAAAAAAGATTAAAAATAAGAATCAGGCAGTGCTCCCGGAGTGGCAGAGGGATGCACCCACACAGCTCACCCACAGAGCGATGGTACAAAGACCTCAGCTCCCAGCACCAGCTCCAGGCTGCTACAGCTACAAGCATGGTCTTCTTGCACACCACTATTCCACTATTTTAATTGCTTGTATTCATAGAATCATAGAATGGTTTGGGTTGGAAGGGACCTTAAAGATCATCTAGTTCCAACCCCCCTGCCATGGGCAGGGACACCTCCCACTAGAGCAGGTTGCTCAAAGCCCCATCCAGCCTGGCCTTGAACACTTCCAGGGATGGGGCATCCACGACTTCCCTGGGCAACCTGTTCCAGTGTCTCACCACCCTCATGATAAGGAATTTCTTTCTAGTATCTAATCTAAATCTCTCCTCTTCCAATTTAAGATGGTTACCCCTTGTCCTGTCACTCCACTTCCTGACAAAGAGTCCCTCTCCAGCTCTCCTGTAGGCTCCCCTTCAGATATTGAAAGGCTGCAATAAGGTCTCCCCGGAGCCATCTGTTCTCCAGGCTGAACAACCCCAGCTCTCTCAGACTGTCCTCAGAGGAGAGGTGCTCCATCCCTCTGATCATCTTCGTGGCCCTTCGCTGGACCCATTCATGCTGTTCTACTGTAACTGCAGGGCTGAGGCGTTCTTTCCCTTGTTTATACTCTTTGTTACTTTTATCTTCTTCTTTATCTGTGTTCTGATGCCTGGGCTTCCTTCACCTCACCTGTGAGGGAGACCCTTCCAGGGCTCCACCAGGGTCAGCCACGATGGCCACCAGCCCCAAGGGGAGGTGGACACCCCTGCACCCCACAGGAGGTGGAACCTTCTTGTCCAGTGTGATCAGATCTCACTGGGGTTGGGCTGGGAGCGGGTGCCTACTGAGTCTTTCCCACTTATTTCACCAATTAGCAAATTGGCTTGCACGTGTGCTGGGAGAGCAGGGGCAAGCAGAGTGGCAGAAGGCTGCAGAGGATTGGGGTGGGGAGAGAAGCGAGATGTGGTTTAAAAACGCCTGAAACAAGACACGCCACGTCTTTACATGTATTGCTTCAGGTCGGCAAAAGTCTTTCCAAAATACCTGAGCATGGCTAATTGCACAGCAGACAAATGTCAAAATGAAGGGGGTGGGAAAAGAGACTCAGAAGCAATTGCACCATAACACATCTGTGCAATTTTTGTTTGTTCTGATTTTTAGCTTTTAACAATATTAGCCAAAATCCCCCAAATACGCCTCAGTGCAAGCCAGTGAAAAACAGAGCGGGATAACTTAGGTCATGGAAAAATGGTGGCAATTATTAGGAAACTAGTTCAGCCCTGGGAAAATCATTTAGTCTGCATCTCATTCTCCAGGTCTACTGGTAGTCCCTGTTCCTCCTCACATTGTTATTAGGACTGGGAGGTGCTTATGTCCCCCAGAAATGAAAGATGCAGCATTAGAAACTCTGAAGAAGATCATCATCTTCTCTTGAAGCCTGTACATATTTTGCCACTCTGACTGGGGTTTTTCGCATCAGCTTGGCAACTCTTATTTAGTGACAAAAATGTAAACATCAGGATAAGAGAGAAACTTCTAAAGGATACAACTGCTTTGACAAATATCACACAATGTGTGGCTAAATAACCCTCCTTGAAACTCCTATCTCTTTCCAGTTGTAATATTATGGGTAAGGCTGTTCTAAATTTGCATTAATCACTAGGACAACACAACTTTTGTTTCAGCATGACAGCAAAGGCCAGTAAAGAGACACAACTGTGCAAGCATAACATGTGTTAACCATATCTTGATAGGTCTCTCCAGACTCCTGTGTTAAGCACTAGCTCACACGCAGTGCCTGGTGAGCCCTCCATGCATCCCTCTGGGGAGGGAGCAGAGCAGAGCTTCTCCACCTGGACAGCACGACCCAGCAGACAGACAGGTGCCCAGCTCAGCTTCCAAGTCTCTTCTCTCACTCGTGAGCCTGGAGCATTTAGGAGGTGTTTCTAAACCAAACAGCATCAATAGTGCTAATGACAATTCCAGATGGGGAAAAAGTGCTTTCACTCCAAAGTGCTGGCTGTGCAGGATGTGCTAACTAGGTGGAGACAGGTGTGTGAGGTTGGTTGTTTTTAACCAATAGAGGATAAAACAGATGACACTATAACTTATAAGTTTATTATAATTGTTCTAGAAATTACCTGCACTTGTCTCCCAGATTTTTTCTTCTCTATTTCATAACAGCTACTCATTTTAGATATTGCTACATCCTCTACTATGCCATAATAAATTAGGAAAAACTGCTGAAAATGAAAGAGAATGGTCTTCCCTGAGACCCCAGAAACAGATGGGGCCCTATTTGCAATAAGCAGATGTGCCTTTGTTTTTGTTACCTCAGCAAGGAGGAAGACTGAACATGTTGTCTTCATCCCAAGTAAAATGTCTATGGTGATTTATTCAAGAAGTATTAGGGAGGTCTCTATCAAATGCAAAAGACCTGGAAAAATGACACACTTGTTTTTAACCACACCTGTGATAAGTTTCTCCCCTACTGTACCCTCCACATCACATGCCTTCCCTGACAGTCTCGTTGAAGGGTCAAAGCCCTCCTAGGATGCCCCAGTTTGAGGGGTAGCAGAGGGAGCTGAGGCAAAGTCTCCTCTGACGGTTAAGACTCATCAGATGCCTTCTCCCGAGGCTGCAGACTATTTCCTTCTCCAGAAATACTGGGTCTCGTTTCAGGAGGAAGGCCGAGGAAGAAGGAGGCTGGCTGTGTTCTCCCTCTGTGGAAGGATGTCCCTCCTTTCAGTAGCTGGCCAATGCTACTGTCCAGTTGTGTCTCTCACATTAATTTCTCTTTCCCCTCATTTCTCACTTGTTACACCCAGAATAAGAGACCAAAGCTTCATCTTTTTGCTCCCCCATTCTTCCTATTTAATTTCAGAGCTCTCGTGGACTTTGGCAAATCAGAGCATCTTCAGGAGATGGGACAGAACAATGCTCTCAAGAGCTCTCTGGAGATGTGGCACCTTCCCTCCCTGGCTTGAGATGTCCTTGTGTCCCCTCATCAATCCAGAAGACAATTTATAACAAACAGGGCAAGAGACTGGAAGCAGGCTTAAACAGTCACCCTATATTCAAATGCCAAAAAACGTTTCTCTAAATATACAATGTCTTTATATTGAGGCAAACATTTACCTCCTAAAGCAGGTTTTTAACACTACTGTAGTTTGCTTGCAAAGAGATTTGGTGGTGATACGTGTGAATTAAGTTAAGAAAGCAGCCCTGGCCCACAAAAGTAAATAACTAGCTCAAAGCTTCCAGCTGACTTTGTTGATCAAAATGCTCCAGTGACAGGGAAGAGGGTCAACACACCAGTCCTGGTCGGCAGGCTCCCTTCCAAAAAAATACACACGTGGCTTCCTACCTGAACTGAGTTGAGGTGACAGTATCCATTCAGTGGAAATCGGATGACGTGCGTCGAGTCGTGATTCCAGCCGGCATTGACAGAATTGCACATCACGTCACCGATCTCTGGAAACACTTCTTCTATCAATGACTTATCGCCACTCAGCGTAATCCTCTCTCCAAGGTCTGGGGCAACTCGCACCACCAGGCACTCACAAGACTTTGAGAAGCGGCCACTCTCCCGGTCCTGTTTCCACCTTTCCATCTCCCCTAGCATGGGCTGAAGCTGGAAATACTTTGCTTCTTCATATAACAAACTGTAGTCCTGGAAGACACATACATTACTGTGCACAATTAAGGAAGAGGCATTGCTAATGTGCCGCTTAATGTATATGGTTATTCAGGCTAACGCTGCTCTGGATCTGGAACCCTTCAGACGTAGCTCATAATTACTGTGTAGGAAGGTCTAATAAAATAACAGTGCAAGCAAAAAATAACCATCGGCCACTTGAGACAGACTGGGTATAGCAGCGTTTGGAAGGGGAGGGGAGGCTCTGCTTGCTCAACTCCCTTCTGCTATGGAATAATCCAGGCAAAAAAAAAAAAATCCCCCTTTTCCCCCATATTTTATCCCCCTAGTGATGTCATAGAATAATGACCTCATTGAACAGATGGAACAGAATTCAATCAGGATTCAGAGAATTCATCACTAGGATACATCGCGTCTTACAGCAATACTAGCAGGCATTGTAACAGGTATACGAATGTAAATGAGGAAGCCTGCTATGGTTCTAAGTGTAAAATGATTCAGATATTTGCATAATGAATTGCATATATTACTGCATTTTAAAAATTAAGTATTTTTTAATACCTCCCCATTTTGCCAACAGTATTGTTTACTATATCATCTCAAATGCCAGAGCAGAGAGAACGCATTTCTAAGCATAGCCAGTACAGAAGTAATTTAGAACTGATGATCTGGAATCTGTCTGCTGCCATTTTTTAAAGTAAAAAAAAAAATAATCTTATTTTTCTAGGTTTAACAGCATAAGACCATTTGGAAAATATTTATACAGAGAAAAGCAATACATGAGAATTAGGGAAGACAGAGGAACAGAATGACAACAAAGGAAGACTGCTAACACTCAGTATGGCCCCTGAATTTGAGCTACAGACAGAATGCTTTATGAGAACAGGACACCTAAATCATGTCCAAACTACTGCTTACATTTAATGTAACAAAAGTGTCATTTAATCCATATATTTCTAAGAAACAAGGACCGCTGTTCATTTTAAGCACTGATCTTCTGGATGCCTTAAAGCATAACTGGAAAGGACACCCCTTTGAACATCGTGTTGGTTGGGCAAACTTGCCAGGAGTTACATTTTTAATTTCAGCACAGCTACAGTATATTTATCTGTTTAAAAGGCTCTGCATATATAACTTAAAATTGCGTGAAAGGTGGTTTTTCCTTTTTCTGTATTTCTGACTGCCTCCAGGAGAAATGCCAAGAGCAGCACAAAGCCATGCCAAGGCTTCCAAAGAGGGATGTGATGTTTATCAGCCAGTTCCAAACCTCCACGTTATTCAGGGAGGTCTACCCTTGTCACGCACGGGAGAAGCAAGTATGAGTCTACAGCAGATGATTCAAGGGTTGCTGCAACACAGCTCTCGAACTCAACCTCACACCTATGACGCCCCAAACACCCGGAAGTCTTGTCTCAGATGGGAGGGATAAAAGACCAGAGCAAGCTGCTCCAAACCCTTCCCCATCCCCTCTCCCGTTCAATCCGAATTGCCGTGTTCCCTACGGTGAGCTGATGGCACAGCCAGCTACGCTGATACACGTTCATTAAGCAACGATAACGATCTGTTCTGATGGCAACCCCGGTCTCCAGCGCTCTCTTTGCTGACACCACACACACACCCACAGGAGGATAAACGCAGAACATCACAGGGAGTCTGAAGCTCTGCCTCTGTAGGCTAATGGCTAGTGTGGTGAACTACCACAAATGCAATTTGTTATTAAAAAGCCAAAAAAAAAAAAAAAAGCAGGCTTTTTAATAAAGTTTAAATAATAAACGTGGAGCTATTCATCCCTGACTTCTCCAAAACTCCAAAATTAAACTTGCAGTATGTGTTCAAGAGTCTGAGGGAGAAAATATTCTATGACTTAATACTCAAATATTAGCATGTGTGCAGTTTATTTTGTCAATACTGTGATTCCCACACCATTCTCTGAATTTCAGCGTGGGAGTGGAAGCTGGAGCTGCTGCAATTAGAGGGGAAGCATAAAAGCAGATGAGAGGACAAATAAGCAGCAAAGCTCACAAGCAGTCAGTTCCAAATTGTGACATCCTTTCTGTCTCCATCAGCATCCTTATTTTATTATATTTAACTTCCCCAGGTCAAACATGGTGAGGTTGCTCCATAACACCGTAGCCAGGACAGGAAAATTGAATATTAATGCCACTCCAGGAAAGTCTGAGAGATGCCACTTTAGCAACCCCATGCTTACTTTTGCCACATACCCAAAATCAAACATCATAACCTTCGAGTTCCCACCATCTAGGGCTCTGTTTGACTACACACCAGATACTTGCTTTACCAAGGTACATGCAAAGCACCCAAGCCCCTTGAAATCTCACCTTGAAATCATCAGGAATGAGGAGTTTCGATGTCCTTAAAAAATTCAAGATATATCTGAACATCTGCCCATCTCTGTCGATGAAATAATGCTGCTTGAGACTGTCGAGGACGATGGGCTCCGTGCCATCGAACAGCCGGCCGATCCTGGAGAGGAAACAAGAGGAGGAATGGCAGGGTCAGACCAAGCTGGGTTCAGTGGCAGCTCAAACAGCTCCACGCTGCAGAACGTCTCTCTCAATAGCTCCCACCAGCAGACCCTGTCCCCCCAGAATGCACCAGCCCCCTTGGATTGACTTCACCCCATCTGGAGTACTGTGTCCAGTTCTGGGCTCCCCAGTTCAAAAAGGACAGGGAACTGCTGGAGAAGGTACAGCAGAGGGCTACAAAGATGATTAAAGGCCTGGAACATCTCTCTTATGAGGAGATGCTGATGGACTTGGGTCTTTTTAGTCTTGAGAAAAGAAGACTCAATGCTTAAAAATACTTAAAGGGAGGGTGTCAAGAGGATGGGGCTGGTCTTTTTTCAGTGGTGCCCAGGGACAGGACAAGAGGAAATGGACACAAACTTGAGTATAGGAAGTTCTACCTAAACGTGAGGAGGAACTTCTTTACTGTGAGAGTGGTAGAGCACTGGAACAAGCTGCCCAGACAGGTGGTGGAGTCTCCTTCTCTGGAGACATTCAAAACCCACCTGGACAATTTCCTGAGCAACCTGCTCTAGGTGGACCCGCTTTGGCAGGTGGCTTGGACTAGAAGATCTCCAGAGGTCCCTTCCAACCCCATATGATTCTATGGGTACTGCATGGTGAACCTGATTTAGTTTGGAAATTGCACTAGGGAAATCAGGGTGGGGTTTTTTTTGTTATTTGCTTGGGTTTTGTTTGTTTTTAAACCCAGTTCTTTTTTTTGGATGCCATTTACTGCAACCAATACTTGGGCAGGCCCAGCTGAGGGGGCAGCACGCTGTGGGAATTTAAAGCCGGAGGTACCAAGTTTATAACATTTCAATACAAGGCAACAATTTCACAGTAAAAATTAACCGTTTGTGGCAGGTATCAGTTAGCCCAAGCTAAAACCATCAGGAAAAACGCCCCAAAGTTTGAGAGACCACCCACCGACCACCAGAACCACGCAGCCACCCAAGAGAGCCAACAGGTTCTTGCAACGTCAACTGCCGGGCGCACACAGGTTTTCTACATGGGTGCCCCACAAACCTGCGTTCGTTAGAGCAGCAGGAAGGGCTGAAAACTCTGAACAAAACCCCTTGCCAGAGGAACACGAAAGACATGCTATGTTGTGTGTCTGCACCGGGGCGTTTGCAAAAGGCTCCTGAGTCACTGGTGGTTTCCCGGTGCGATGGCCAGGAGCGGCTGGAGTTTGCGTGCCTGTTTATGTGGCCACACGGGTGATATGGAAGTGCCCTGTGATTCTTTCCAACCCCAGAACTGCAAACAAAACAGTCTCAAAAATAGCTCGCTTGCGGAACGTCAGACGGATGCTCCGCATGAAATACTACTGATGGTCTGGGATGCCATTTCAGAGCCTTTTCACAACCTGTTACCTTCTGCAATATCCTGCAGATACCACGTTTTCATTATTTTAATGAAAAGGCTCATTTGTACATAGTTTTTGTCCCAGTACAATCAATCTCTTTTGGGAACCAGCACAGTAAAACCTCTGCAGGTTACTAAAGAGCACACAAGAATATCACCATAGATCAGGGTGGAGCTAGGGGACCGATAGGCGCTTTTATTCCCTGACCACACTCAGTTTGTGGCATAGGTAAGGTACAAGTCTGTCTCCTCATGAAAGGCACAGAGCAAGCACAATGAACAGTAAAGACACACTATTTTTGTTTTAAAAGAAATGAAGAAACAACTATTCCCCATCACCAGGAGGAAAAAACCCCATGAAAAACTCAGAGGTGATCTGCACTTCTGGCTGCATGAGGCATCCCAGGCTGAGATGCCCCATCCATCAACCAGCAGAAGGGGATCTCCAGCAAAAGTTCAAGAAGCAAAAGACCAAAGCGGTTTCCTTGGACCTGCTTTGGCAGGGGGGTTGAACTAGATGATCTCCAGAGGTCCCTCCCAACCCCATATGACTATGTGATCCCAAAGAAGGGGAGACAGCAGGACTTGCAGCGGGGTCCTGGGGAACTGCAGAAGAATGGGGCTCCAGGTGACCACACACCACTTTATATCCACAGCCATGCACCCTCCCTTTGAAAATGGCACAGCCAACCCAAATGGAGTTTAAAGTGGTGTCTGTGCCTGCAGCAGGGACCTCAGTAGTACACTTGGTAATAAACTGTGAATAGAACACAAGTCTCATCTATTCTTTCTCATCAGCGGGCAAAGACGAATACCAGGAAAGATACAAAACCCCATTAACCTCAGCTGGCCACTTACAATCCTGTAGGAAATACCTGAATCCATTTAAGTCACATGAAATCTGTAACATATAAGGAATTGAATATGTTTTGCAGAATTAGGTACAAAATATTTTTTTCAAAGCCATCCCGTAGAACAATTCAAGCTTTCTTCCTTGGATACTTGTTGCTGCCTGCCCTGCTGCTCAAAATATAAGCTGTGACGGGCCATATAATACAGGTTCCTGTGCACGAGGTGGATGAGCAACATTTATGTCTAATATGGATGCACTTGGCATTTAGCATTAATTTTCCCCTATACTCAAACATATCATCTTGGAATCTATCATGGAACTCACTCACGAAACATATATATTTGGCCAAGTCAGTCATTACTGAAACGTATAATGGTAATTGGTTTCTGCAGCATTTTCCTAGTTCTAAATTACTACTATAATTACATATTTTAAACCTCTAGGCTTTTTGTCTTCATTTTATTAATTGTATTAGGAGAAGAACAAGATAGTATCAGAGGATGGAGCCTTCTGACAAAACCATAATGCTGACAAGCGTGCACAGCCAGCAGGAGTGCTACCTGGGACCTGAAAGCCCTTGGGTCTGGGCTGGAAGGGTGACCAGAAAGCGCTGCCTTAGTGCACTCCTGCTTTGCAGCTGCAGAAAAAACCCAGAAATTGCCAAATTCCAATTCCCCTCCTATTGCCCCCCCAGGAGCACTTTGCAATACACAACTGCACATATTAAAACAGCTTTGGAAGGGCAGACCCCCAGCAGAAAGACCTCTGTAAACAAAATTAAAGACTTTTTTCCTTTTCAGATGGCAAAATGCAGATTTCAGCTTCTTTCACATGGCCTCCAGAGAAAGACTTGAGATAATATGGGACCCAAATCTGGTGGCATGGTCCTTCTAAGCTGCATTTTCTACACATATCAGGAGAGGAGGCTGGGTTATGCCAGGACCTGGGGAAGGACCAACATCTTCACCCTCCAGCATCCCCCTCTACACTTGGGTTCCTGGAAGCACAGCTCTTGGCCATGCCTCACTTGGCAGGTTTTATAAACAATAATATTTGAGTAACCATCCCCCATGTCACTGTTACTCCTGCCCAGTCTCACACTGCAATTATAAATGCTTAAGGGACATCAATCCGCTGGCACAAGAAGGGACTGATAAATCACATTTATTGTAATTTCCCTTCCTAAGAAAATCTGAAAGATGTTTGTTTCCCCATCTCCTTCTTGACAACATTGGCTGATGATCAGCAAGGACAACTTTTTCTTTTTAAATGACAAATACGTAACAGCCAAATGGATTTCCAAACAGGAAAGTGCTTTACAGGAGGCTTGCAAAGCAAGCTGATAATTATATGCAGAATTAGCCAAATATCAAGGGTAAAGGAAAAGAAAATGTAGTCCATTTACAAGAACATGTACTTCAGAAATATTTAATTAAAACTAACAGGCTGGAATTTTCTGTATATCAGGAAAATTAATGTCCCATGGGTTGAAAGTACGACCTCCAATGGGTAATAATTAATGTCTCTGGCTTTAAGTATCATATTCCACTGTCAGAAACCGAATGCTTCAAGGACTGAAAATACAACCAGTAGCTTCTGTCACAGAATTTGGTTTTACTTTAAAGACACAAAACAGGTACAGCCGCAAGCCTGGTTTTAATGGGGAGAAAACACCGGGATACGGAAGAGATGTTTTGCTTCCATAAAATACTATGGGGATCCTTCTCCCCACAGACCAGCACTCCCATACCAGCGTTTCTAGACCATAAAGCTAGCATGGGAAGATGATATTGCTTACAGGATTTTTCACATTCTTCAGAAACAAGTCCTGTTTGTCAAGTATAAATATATACTGTCTGCAGCAAAACTGTATATATAGTGTAAATGTTTATAACCTTGCTCTCTCAGTTTATAAGTATTTATATATATATTATTATACACATAAAGAGAAAGACTTCCCTTTAATACATTCTGCCTCAGTTGAGAATTTAGGAAAGAAGCAATTATTAGGACCGAGATGGCTAATACTAATTAAATAAGTCAACTATTGCACAACTTAACACTAAGAAAAATTACATGGTTCCGCAGATTGTTTTAGAAGCTTCAGTGGACAGAGCTAAATTCTTCCCCTTTGTCATCAAAGGGGTACAAGGACCATGGATAAGCAGCAAGCCTTGGTGCCTGCAAGCATGCAGAATATTGCATTGCTTTCAATCTAAGGTAGAAATAAACAGCATTTTTTTTCCTGAGAAAACACAGATTCCTTATTTTTTAATAAATTCAGTATATTATTTCTCATATTAATATAATTATCAGAGGACAAAAATCTCAAAACTGAGATATTTTTTTTTTTTGCTATAAGCTATTTTCAGGAGTTCTAAGACGCCGGCTCTCTCTGCGTCTTTTGCAGAACAACAAAAAGGGAGGAAAGCTCCTGGTGTATAATAACCCGTCAGAGGGAACTGTGCAGCAGGAGCAGCATCGGTGATACCCTGGCACCCACAATCCCGTGCTAATGGCAGGGCAAGAAACGCTGGGAAGGGCAAAGCACTCATGAAAACACATCTCTCTCCCTCCAATAATGAATGACATGGCATGAAAAAAGTATTTTAGCTGAAATCTTACTCACCGGGTTGAAGCCACTGTGGCAAAGTGAATAGGGGTTTGGCCCTTAAAAGGATAAGTGAATGCAAGTTTTACTATCACATCATTACATTTATGTGGCTAATGGGAATGCT